ACTTTCCCTGGGGTCCAGTGGGGTTGCTAGGCGCGTAGTGATGCCAGGACTGGAGTGACGCACGGTGGTGCGCACGAGGGAGCTGAACAGAAGGATCAGTGCTCCCTTGCCGCCCGCAAAGTGCCGACCAGCTCCTGGGCCCCCCAGGACAAGAGGCTGGCAAGGCATTTGCCAGGGCGATTGAGGGGTGGCTTTTTTGCTGCCCCCCAGAAAGTGCCACCCAAGGCAAATGCCTTGGCAGCCTTGCGGTAAATACACCCCTGATGGTACCATCTCCTTCTAGACTTTATTGCCCTTCAACCCTATAGTTGGTTGAGCTTCATGTAAAACTTTCATATGTGCACTCTGTATAATAAACTGCTATTATTAACTTGACTTATTTGCATTCTCAAGAGCTTTGGTCCACAGCAAATGGAAAGCGAATGTAAATATCAATTTTTTGTCAATAAAGTGCTTGTATTATTTTCACTCAGAGATATAGATATGTTTTGTATATTTATTGTGTGACAATTTGTTCAAAGTATTCTATCAGAAACAAACAGTTTAGTATTCCACATGCCAGATTACTGTGAACTTGAGAAATATTGCCAAACCTTCAAAATTTAACGTAAAGCACATTGTGAGGTTTGTGAATATTGGCACTTGGTTTGGACGGCTACACACAGAGTGATTCACAGAAAGCCAGCTGTATTTAGAGAGGAATTTCACAGGATGACCTGAAGTCGTGATCTCCCACACATTAAATGTTACATCAGTACAAAGACAATCAACAAATATAAAATGAGAAAGCAATTCAGTGCTGCTCGCTATTGAGTTCATACACTTGTTTATTTATTGGTTTATATATTTATTATTGGCATTTATAAAGCGCCGACATAGTTTGCAACGCTGCACAATTGGGACAAAGACAGGACAATATAAACAGAACACTACAAAAGGTAAAGAGGGTGCAGCCCGTGAGCGGAGATCTAGCCAATGAAGACCTTTTATACAGAGTACTTTTCTAGAGAGCCCATGAGCTTACAATCTAAGGTTAACCCCTTAAGGATCAAACTTCAGGAATAAAAGGGAATCATGACATGTCAGACATGTCATGTGTCCTTAAGGGGTTAAAAAGGCCTCTGTTGCTCCTTTGTTCCAATAAATCTGCCTTTTGCAATATCCTCAGTGCCTGGACCTGACTTTCTTCATTTCTGCTAAATTGGAATTTGCCAACTCTGGGCCTGTAGCACCTGGATTGTGTGCGAGAATGCAGGATCTGTTTGTGTATACTACTAACACAAGAACTATAACAAAAACAAAGTAATATGGTGGGTACAGCCGGATTGCTTGTAAGGCAACCCTGGCTCAGATAGGGGCCTGGTGAGCCCTTGTATGTGCTTGGATTTCCCGCTTTGATTCGCCCCTTCACCCCACCTCGAACCAGCAGGGAAATCTTTAAAAATGCCTCCTTGGTGGTAAATGTCCACCCCAGTCCATCCCAGTTCTGGCACCCTGTGATGGAGTCAGACTGCAGACACCGTATTTCCCAGCCTGTGTCCTCACTGTGCGCTGGACCACCAGGGAATCCACCAGGGACTCTTGGTACCCATGACTTAGACAGCCTGGAACTCTGCTCCAGGCTGCCTAACGTCAACTCTGTGCAAAAATTACGTATGGGGCCAGCACACTGTCAAAGAAATAATTAGATTATTCACTTGCAGGTGCATTGTGAGCATGCCTGCAAGTGAAAGCCCAAACCCCCTCCAAACCAGCCAGCTGCCCGTGATCCACCACCCACAGTAGAGCCCACCCTCCCTACCCTCCTCACCATCCTCAGCAATTGGAAGGAGGGCAGCTTTAGTAGTGTGAAAAGCTGTCATTCAGCTCATCTTGCCATTTGTGAATGCGAACACCACACACATGCGTGTTGTAGATTTCAGTGGTCCAATAATGCTTCTCTATGAGCATTTAATTTGACCATGGATATGAAGAGGATGACATGGCTTGAAATAAGACAATGCAGGAACCTGAACATGGATGACTTGACCTAGCATTCACTTTTTTTTCTTTTTTCTTTTTTTTCTTTTTTTTTGCAGGTAGTCGTAAAAACATCATGTTACATTGTGTGCAATAAAGGTTTTCAACAAAGGTTACAGTTTGCAGTAAAAACACCGTCACATGCATATTATTCACCCAATTTTTTATAATAATTTTTTAACATGGATTCCTCATAACTGTACATTCGGTTAGGCCTGTTATTAACTGGAGGTTGCCGGTTATTAGCGCGTGCACCCTTAGTGTGGTCAGGTAAGGCTATATCTAGGATTAACGTCATTAAGGGCGCGTGGGTATTGAGCAGTACAATTTGTCAACTGATAGGTAAGAACCTAGTCCTCTCATGGTGGTTAGCCCATGAGAAGTCGTGTCGGCCAGGTTGGCTGTTGTACGTGCCATGAGATCGCTCGTTTGCTTACAAAGGGATGGGCACGTTAAAATAAGGTAAGGGGTGGAGGGGTAAGTAGCTGGTCATGGTGGCTGGCTTGTAACTTGTAGAGCCAGGTATAGGGAGCATAAATATATATATTTATATATTCAAACCAATTGGAGATCTAAGTGAACTTTTCTAAATAATACAAAATCTAAGATTAAACAAAACCATGAGTGGCAATATAAACAGCAGACATTACTCGTTTCAGGTAGGAGAATCGGGTGTGCCCGTTCTTGTTCCCCTAGGCACAAATGGGCTGATGTTTGCGACAGTCCATGAAGGGCGGGTGACCGCCGGGGCTGCCTCTGCTGGTAGGCCTAGGGCTTGAAGGAAAGCTGGCGCTTCCGACTTGTGCGTTAAGATGTGCATCTTGCCTTCTCTCTCCGCCATCAGTCGGTGTTGCCCCCACTTGTATGTAATGGATTTCTCCCGAAGCTGCTGAGTAAGCTGTCCAAGAGACCTCCTCCATGCCAGAGTGTGTCTAGATATGTCCCTGTAAAAAGTCAAATGTGCTCCCTCAAAGGGGACCGTGGGAGAGCCTTTGGTGGTTCCCATGAGGACCCCCCCGTTCAGAGTCCCGATTAAATTTGACAAGCACATCTCTAGTAGCCTGCTGAGGTGCTTTGGTGGCTTTAGGGAGCCGAAAACATGAGTCCACTCCCATCTGCTTCACTTGTTTGGGCAGCAGTAATGTAGCCAGCAGCCGTCGGCAGTAATGGGGTAATTCAGAATTGGTGAGCGATTCAGGGACCCCTGGGATTCGCACATTCCATATGAGCAAGCTGTGTAGTCAGGGCACTGCATTGTTTTTGCAGTGACCCCAGGGTTGCGTCTGTGGCAGTTTGGGCAACCCCCGCACCCCTGAGGCTCTCTTCCACTGTTATTACCCGGCTTGTGAGCGTTGAAACTTCCTCCCTGACCAGCGCCATATCAGCATGGAACATAGCCTGTATTTCTTTTACTAATGCCTTTATATCGGCTTTCGTGAAGGGAGCTGAGTCTCCTATTTCCGAGGGTGTCACAGGCTTGGTTTGTACCTTCGGTGGAGGTAAGTAGACGGCTGTCGGGCTCTCTTTGTCTGACAATGGTGAGGTAGAGGCCTCAGCCGGCGCCATTTTGCCAAGGTCGGGCCGCGGCCGCATGGCCGTGCATAGAAAAGCTCCGATGTCTCTGGATCGAGAGCCGGGATCGGCTTTATATTTTTTAGCCTTCTTGCCCATGGTGTAAGGCACGTTAGGTGGCTTGTTAATTGTGCCGTGTTTCACCTATATTCAGCGTTAGGGTGGATTTCTTAGCGGAGCTACTGCAGGATGCGTTCTACTCGCTTGGGTGCTGGCTCTGCCCCAGCGTTCACTTTTAAACTTTGTTTTACCACAACAAAAAATAGGGGGGGGGGGAGGTTGGTGCAAAATAACCTATAGGACACATATAGTTCAAATTGAATATTAAAAACAAAGGTTGAAGTCACCCTTTAATTATCTCCATGTTTTGATGATTGTTCCACTAGTGCATTTACATAGATATAGCACAACAACTACAAATAATAATAATAGTAAACATTATTTAACTAGGAAGGGTAAATTCTGCTACGTGCAATTTTGGCATTACATTCTAAAGCAGCTCGTTGCCTGGGGTTATATATACATTGAAGGAATGTAAATAGAGAAAAGAAAAGTTTGGGGAAATAAATAGCATTATCCTGAGTGTTAGTTTTTAGCTCCTGGACTGGCATGTCATTATTCACACTAGGAGCGATTGTCCTAAAATGTGATATAAGTAATTAAACACTTCCTTGTTTCATTGGTTCTAGGCGTGAAATAGAACACAGAGCCTGGAGCCTCATTGATTAACTGTGTCTGTTATACTTCTGCCAAAATTCTCATTAAAAGCCCCACCGCTAGCCTTAGCATATCAATTCTGAGCATCTGTGAAATTACAATTACTTAATACTTAATACTTAAATACTTAACTCAAACATATTAATTATGCTTAGTACTTTATTTCTCAGGACCTCAATGGTAGTTCGACAGGTATAAAACCAATTGTTGATACATGTAACTAGAGGGGAAACTAGAATACATTAACGGTAACAGTGGACAATAACATCTACATTTTAAGGTATGCCCAGCATGTGATCACTTGTTTCCCAGGAGATTACATATATCATTTAGCACTATTAGTTTGTCCTGTTGTTTTGTAACTTCAACAACTGGTTTGAAGGAATCGAAATGCCCTCAGTAATGCTCTGAATTTCCATATGTATTTTTGTGTGAGGATGTATGTTATACCAAATAACTTGGATAATAATAACTATAAGTTATATTCTCTTAACTGTAACAAACTTTCATCAAAATTTCAATTTCCAACTTTGAAGATCTACAAAAAGACACAAATCTTTCCATTATTCATTTTATTACATCTATACAATAATACACAGATGATTTGAAGCAAACGTAAATAACATTTTATTATATTATATAAACAGATAATATCATTAATGTAGGATCCCTGGTATCCCTGGAACCAATCCATGCTATTGCTACCTTCCACAGCCCTGTGTCTACAAAGGTTTGAGTATTTCAATTACATTTACTTATATTTTGTAAAATCAACTGCCGGTTAGAAAACTCATTTCATTGTTGCAAAGTATAATTAAATATTTTTTTAAAAGGCATATTGATTCAGTTGGTCCAAGCAACTATATACAGTTGTAATCAAAATTATTCATCCCCCACTGAATATCAGGTTTATTGTCGATGTAAAAAGCAGATAAAATTTGTATCTTGTAATACCGTTTTTATTGGACTAACAGAATTTTTAATGACAAGCTTACAAGAGTCTTTAAAATGTACAGACCTTGAGCTGTATGCAATGTGGCTGTTAGTGAGAATTTTGGTAGAAGTATAACAGGCACAGTTAATCAGTGAGGCTCCAGGTTCTGTGTTCTTCTATTTCACACCTAGAACCAATCAAACAAGGAAGTGTTTAATTACTTATATCACATTTAAGGACAATCGTTCCTAGTGTGAATAATGGCATGCCAGTCGAGTAGCTAAAAACTAACACTCAGGATAATGCTATTTATTTCCCCAAACTCTTCTGTTCCCTATTTACCTTTCTTCAATTTATATATAACCCCAGGCAAACAATATATAGAAATGTCTAGTTTCAAATAAGGTATTATCCACGCTGCGTTAGGATGTAATACCAACATTACACATATACCCTTGGTAGTTAAATAATTATTACTGTTATTATTATTAATAGTAGTACTGTAGGTGGCGTTATATGTGCAAAGGGCGCTTCTAAAGTTAACTGCACAAACACCTAAAGTTTATCCTTCAGTAACTTGTGAAAATGTGCAATGTATGTTGTGATGGTGGAGTGCTTAATGTAACTACCTAAAAAAATCATATATCGATTTCTAAAGTAAATAACAAAAGTACTTTTGTTGTGTTGAGCTATTTCAATTGTGTTTGTTTGATTTGCTAATTGCAAGCAACGGACAATCTGTAAATTTTAACAATAAACCTGATTTTCAATGGGGGTTGAATCATTTTCTTTACAATTAGAGGATACATAATAGTGAACCATTTATTACAAAAAAAATAATGTCTTTGAGGAGTTTTGGAGATAACCCATAAGACTGATGGTTTAGTGGCTTTTGAATGTCTCCTAAATCTAATATGGTATTATTTGTTCCAAATACATACTTTGCCGCTTTAATAATTTTTTATATTACATGATATTTTTATGCTGGGGATAGAGTTGGCAATAGGGCTAGGCTTACTGTTAGTGTTAGGGCTGGGGTTAGTGTTTGGGGTTGTGTATTTGTTAAGTGTTTAATGTTAGAGCAGTAACGGACATACATGTTAAAGTGCTCCCCAAGATTAGTAGGATTTACAGTGTAGCTCCCACTAATCTATGGCAGACCAGAACATAGTGGCAACTCATGCAGTATTTTCCATCATTATGTGCACTACTGGGATTGAAGGACACTGCAGGGACTTCGGAGAGATCGTAGGTAACATAGAAACATGGAATGTGACAGCAGATAATACCCATTCAGCCCATCTAGTCTGCCCAATTTTCTAAATACATTCATTAGTCCCTGGCCTTATCCTATAGCTAGGATAGCCTTATGCCTATCCCACGCATGCTTAAACTCCTTTACTGTGTTAACCTCTACCACTTCAGGTAAAACTTAACTTTTATTACATTTTGTACTAAAATGTGTCGACGTTTCAGCTCCACATATGGAGCTTTCATCAGGTCTACAAAAATAATGTATATATATTTCTTTTTTTATATATATATCAAGAGAGAGAGAAATTTGTCAGGAAACAATATGAAACATGATCAAAGGGTCTACTTTTGAATGCATATTCGATTTAGGAGGTTTATATGTGCATTCTATCCACCATATTTATTGAACAGTCGCACATGAGTCTGACATCTATTTGCCATCATATCTTCTAGTTACATGGGTGGAACTCCCAAGAAAATAAACTTTGCATACATGCATTTGACTAGTTAAATATTTAGCTCAGGTGTTACATTTTTGGCCTGGTGACCAGCAGCGTGCAAGTCTTCTAGTATGCAAGCTAACAACAGATTTTAATCAGTGGAATTGTCAGTGTGTGTCAAAATATCTCTGTTTGTTTTTTATATATAGTTGTAAAAAAAATCTTGAGAATGCAGACATGTAGAAAATAAGCTTAGAATTAACAGAAACTTTTTGTAGAAGTAATTGCACATAGTAATCAACGGTTATATGTAGACTACATTAGAGCCATACATAAAGCAGTACATGTCAGTCGCTAACTATTGAGTGAAGTAGGAAATGAGACGAGAAACATCGAATATCACCTAGTCTCTCTCAGCTTAATTAACGGTGGTGTTACCTTGTGGAAACACTTGTGAACACGTACAGAAATTCATAGCAAAGATGATGCACATTAAAAGTCACATCAGATAAGTATTCTCAATCTTGGTTTGCAGGGTAAGTCACCAAGGGGTCCTTGAGATGCTCCTCTATTTGGGTAATCAACTTGGAAAGGTGATAAGTCAACGTTACTGTACAATGCCCACTGCAGGTATGACTAAAAAACCATATCAAACTGGAAATGTTAAACTCTGTGAAAGAGCTGAGTTAGGGATGTCTGATGATTGTTATGTGCACCGCAAGAAACAATTGCATGATTAGGGCTCCATAGAGTCGAAACGTTGCTCTTTATTTATGGGGTGGATGATTCTTCAATAAACCATCAATACCTGTGAGTGTCGCCTGTGTCTTTTGCTTTCTGTTATGTGCACTGGTCATCCCTGTTGGGCACCAGTTTTTTAATGTAGGGGCAATTGTACAAAGCTTGATAAAGGCTCAATACAGGAGCTGAAACGTTACTGTATTTTTTGCCATTTTGTCACGGAGGATAGGACTCCTCGTACGTGTTCCCTTATTTGTTTCCCTTGTGTTCGGCTATCCATTACCTTCTGTTTGGTTACTGAACAGAATATGTGTGGTCCCCATTGTTAGCGCCTCATAATCACCGACCACCCCTGGCTGTTAACCACAAATGAGCAATCATCTCAAGTGCTTTCCCTGGGTGGCGCCATTCCTATATACAAACACATGTACAATCAGGAATGGCGGCCATTTTGTCTCCCAAACGCAGGCAGCGGTATATGGTCGTCGATGGCATGGATCCCTAAAGCAGACTGGTCCTTGCCTCTGATCCTGTGGAACTATTCTGGGCTATCGCCTCATGGTCGACCGGTCAAAACTTCACCCGAATGGTGATTCCGTTCTACCGAAGGGATCTGAACGCTATTTGGACAACTTGGGCACTCAGATCCGAGCTATTCAGGGATATGATTTTTGTGGGGTTTCTGTCTGTTACTGATATGTTTTTGGGGTGTTATGTGTGATTTTGCCTTACTTCCTGTACCTGAGAGATAATTGAGTTATCCTACTTTGGATTCAATTGTCTCTCAGACACAGAGGCACTGGGAAGGGGCTTGTTCTTTTTCCAATGGAAACCCAATGCTGCACACAAAAAGCAGAGTGTGGCCTAATAAAATCAGTTGATCTTCTACCCAATATGACTGGTTGCATCCATTATATTGGGAAACTCTACACAACAACAGCGCTATCACAACACTTAGCACTGGATCTAGGACTAGTGGAGGATCGAACGAGCAGCGACAATAACCATTTCCTTTAAGAATGGCTTGTTGTGTATTACTTTTAAGGGACTTTTATTCTTACAATCAGTTTGTAAGGTCATGTTCTGTAGCTGCAGTACTACTCTCTTAGAATGGTAGTGGCTGTATTAAAACAATATTACATAAAAGTGTTATGTATGTTTGCATGACAATTAAAAAAAATCATGCTGGAATTAATTTAGTGTGTTTGTGTTTTATTAAAGAAGACAGTTAGGGATTGTTAGAGTCTGCTTAAACTGTTATTGTGAAAATGTAAGTGCTCAATTACTTCTAACACCAAGAGAAAAGGAAAGCCATTTGAAAGGCTACACTCTAAAATATATATATTTATTACCAAAGTGAATATGTGCAGTCCAGAATGTCTACCTACTAATTACAGTGGAAATAAGGATTTTCATTTTTGAAAATGATGACACTTCACGGGTCACATGTAGCAAGATTGATTACATGAATGAGATGGAGAACTGGATGAAGACTTGTTACTTGTTTCAATTTTACTGTATATTTGTCTTTAGTAAATAAAAAAGAAGAATTATTTTAAGAACCTCTGCGTACCTGTTTGTAATGGTGTGACCATTACCATTACCATTCTGTGTGTACACCCATTAGCTTCTGTATGTGCAGAACACCTGTGTACATTTTTGTAATTGCAAAAGATTGCAGATAGTCGCAAGAGCTCATTTTCCTGTCAATGCAACACAAAGGCTCTACACTCAAAATAACTATTTCATTACACAGTCCACACACTGGGAACTGAGCTACTATATCCTATATTTGCTCAATCAAGACCAAAGCATTCACATAAGGTGTGGGCCTCTCATTGAGAAACTGGTGGAACTAAAATTTGCGTAATCTTACCTTCTAATCCAGCCATAGCAAAAAATATTACCACCCAAAGTAACAAGTGGCCACTAAAAAATTAAATATTGTTATTGTGTAATTATTGTTCATTGAATATTCTGAGCATAATTTATCATTACTTGTAACTGATATTACTGCTCCTCATTGGTACATATTGTTTGCATTCATTTTATTAGAGATGCATCCTGCAAATGCCACTGAGCTCTTTGTAATGGCAAGTAAAAATGGATATACAATGTGGGTATAATGCACAGAACGAAAAATGGTCAATACATAGAAAGTATAATAACATAGGTATAATAATGAAACTCAGTTAACAGTGCAGTATGGACAAATTCGGCATTGTTTGAAAGAGTAATAAATGTTAAAAATAATAAAAATTAAGATTTTTTTTAAATGTATTTATTATTGGCATTTTAAAGCGCCAACATATATCGCAGTGCTGTACAATTGGGACAATGACAGATCAATATAATCACACCAATACAAAAGGTAAAGAGGGCCAAGGCTGTGAGCGTAGATCTAGAAACATAGAAACATAGAATGTGACGGCAGATAAGAACCATTCGGCCCATCTAGTCTGCCCAATTTTCTAAATACTTTCATTGGTCCCTAGCCTTATCTTATAGTTAGGATAGCCTTATGCCTATCCCACGCATGCTTAAACTCCTTTAC